ATGTTGCCTTCGCAACCGTTCGTAGTTGTTGCTGCTGTCCTTGCGCAAATAATTTCACTGATAAAGGATTTTCAACGCATCTTATGCTCGCTGTTTGCACTTTCGCAATATGTTTGCCGGCAGTTTGTTTTTGTTCATTGCCCAAGAAATATATATTATATGCTTTTATACCATGCTCTATACAGTGGCATTCAAATGAATAGCTCGTGAATTTCTTTATTGCCAGTTGTTTTGCGAAATATTATTTTTGTGGAATTTAATTTTATTACTTGCCATCAAATTATAATGCTTTTAAACCATTTTTCTTATTGCGCTTTTGCTTAACAAATTTTATAGTTTATTGTGAGTAATCCAACTGAATTAAAAATCATTTTGATTTTTTATTTTTATCCTGCATACTTCAGGCACCGATATCTGAGATTTTAAAACTCAGGAGTTTAATGCGAGTAATCTAACTAAATTAAAATCAAGAGTATTTTGATTAAGCTTAATCATTAAGCTTAATCAAATAGGGATTAAGCTTAATCAAAATACTCGTGATTTTAATTTAGTTAGATTACTCGCATTAAAATATTCCTATTTATTTTATACCCATTGTATTTTCCTGAAAAGGAGTCTCCGGATGCTCCCGTAAGTAGTTTTACGCGCATTTAAAAGACGGAGCAGTAGGAACATCAGCAGCAGAAGCCCTGGGAAGACAAAGAAGCCAGGGAATGGGTGCAAGGATTCGATGCCAGGACAAGGAAATGAATGTTTCGCAGGCCAGCGAATTGTGCAACTGCAACAACAGAAGCAGCAGCAGTAAATGTTGCTGCTGCAACTACCTTACGCTGCACTTTGTTTGCCCCTTTTTTTGTTGCAACTGCAACTACTGTGCAATGGGCATTGTTTGCTCGCTTCACAGCCAAAATGAAACTCAAATCAACTCGTGCATTTCTAATGCGAATTTATATGTTTTAACCCGGCGCTGCCATCAAAATAGCAACTGCTTTCTGACATGTCCGGCTAGTAAAATTTGTGTCCTTATTGAAATGAGCCAAAATGTACACAATGTTTGCTATGGGACCCAATAATGTTGCAGCTGTAAAAGGGGGAGTATGCACTGGGAAAAATGTCTGGGTGATTTCAAAAATTAGCTTTAAGAATGGTAATGCAATAATTTAATTTTTAAACAATATTTAAATAAAATAATTTGAATAAATATAAAAAAATTTAAATAAAATATTAATACAATTTAAATTAAATTCTCTACATTTTTGTAATATTTTTTAATAGAGCTGAATAATATTTATGTAATATTTAGAAATGTTTTATAATTTTGAAACTATTATTTCTGTGACATTCTTGGCTCCGTGTGGCGATTGGGGAATGGCATCGCAATTCCAATCGGAATCCCGTGTACGTTTACGTATCTCAATCCCTGCTCAGCCACTATAATTTCTTTCTTGCTGCTTTTCCCGCTTTTCCGGACCCTCTGACTCCGAGTTTCCTCGGCAGATTGCCAGACTCCCCTTTGGAGTCTCGAGTCAGTTTGTCAGCTTGTCAGCACATCGGAGAGGAGTGCCTGGGCAAATGGGAAACGTGGGGAAGGGAAAAGCGAGGCGGCGGGGAAAAGCTGAGCTCACATAGCCTCGGCCATGGCTTGCTTTTGTTACTCATTTATTTTGATTTGTTTACCATTGCGATTTATATTTCTTCGTCTCGCTCAGCAGAATGGCTCAAAGATGGGAGGAGGGGAAAAAGGGAGTAGCCAGCGTGCAGAGCAATAAAATTAAGCTCGGATTTATTGACCCATTTCAGTTTGACTTGCTGCCATTTCCCTTAACCCCTCTCCTCGTCGGCACTCTTTGTTATGCATGGCAACTAAATTAAAATGTTTTTACTAATCCCGACAAGTTACTCTTTTAATTACTTTTTCTTCTCAAATGAACAAAGCCGCATGGGGCAAAAGGATTCAGCAGGATTCAGGATTTCGACATCTTCCTATTTTCACTTTGTTTACATTTTCCCTGCTTCGATTTTTATTTAATTTGCCAACTAACCGAAAAAGCCAGAAACCTATTCTGCACGAAATTGATCCAATTTAAGAGTGGATTTCGAAATTTAACAATATTTTTACCCACTTGGCTTGGCTAATTGAATCCTGTAACGAAACTCGGTTGGAGAGCCAACGAGCAGCTTTGCTGGAAAATATTTGCTTTGTTTTAGCTATTTTGTTTATCTATTTTTTCGAAGATATACCTAGAGACCAAAGGCAATTAAATAAATGAAGGCTTTTGTATGCGCTTGGCTTGTCAAATTTGGGATTTATTTGTTGCTCCCTTTGTGGCCCTTTGTCGAGAGTGTATTACAAGCAGCCGAGCGAGCATCGCATCGCAACTACAAAAGGCGTTAATTAAATATTTTCGCTCAAAGACAAGGCGGCGGCAACCAATTACAATAGTCGACAACTGCGCGACTTCGCAGCGACAATGCCAGTGTAATTCTGAACAAAAATCTCATTAAGTGGCAGTGCGAAAAGAGCAGCAGACGAATTGCAGTTGGAAAAAATATGCAAAAGTTAATTAATGGCCAAAAAATACAAATTTTTAAAATATTTGTTTTTAAAAAGTGGCTTTTTTAAGTAATTTTAATAAAAAGGAATAATTTTGTGCAATTAGATTTATAGGTGTCTAAAAGTATGGAACGAAATATTTTAAGTTGCAAGTGCATACTTTTAGGCTTCTTTAATACTGATTTAAAAACTGTCCAGCTTTTTTCTGGTAATCTTTTACTTTATTATTATTATTTAAATTCAAAAAAATTTACTTTTGTTAAAATCATTAGCTACACATTTTTCCCAGTGCCGAAACGGTTTAAGAGGTGTTAACTGACAAGTGTTAGATGAAAACCGAGTTACCTTTTCCACCCGATCCTCTCACCATTGTTGCTGTTTTGCATGGCAAACTATTTCGATTCGAGGGCGGCTAATGCGATTAGCAAATCGAAGGGTTGTCGATTGAAATTCAAGTGGCTGTCGCAATTAATTAATTTCATTGTTCACAGGAGCGAACGGAGTTGTTGTGCTCCCTCGCTGCTCGCGGCGATGAGCTGGCACTCGCTGCTGTTTATTCGATCCGCTTTCGGGTTCAAAAGTGCACCGACTGAGCTCCTCGAATCTCAATGCCGATGACACTCATTAACATAAAACCGAAAAGGTGGCCCCGCCGCCGCAAACCCATAAAGCCAGCTCACTTTTCGCACTCATTAAAACGACGATGTGGGTCACTGTCCGGATGTCTTATCTTTATTTTTTGAAAGGGGTTTGGTAGGGGTTAGTATGAAGGGGGTTTCGCTTGGGTTATCAACCCATTTTAACTGCTGACGTCAGCAGAGGCACTCAAATTTCGGCGACACAGAAGTAAACCCTTTTCGCGCAGCCTCCGAAATACATTTAAATGTAATCTATTATCTTAATTCCAACACAAATTGTTAGGAGCCCAGCCACGTTCGCGTCTTGGTCGCGATTCGCAGTCGTCCTTGTGCGGGGGCCCTTAACCCGGCTAACGAAAATAAAAGCCCATTTACAAGCCGAATGCCACAGTCAAGGACTTGAGCCGCCTGGCAATTCAAATGCCAGGACAAGAGGACAAGGACAGCCAAGCGCTGAAAAGCAAAGCTTATCGGCCGCAACGTAAATCACCCAATTTACCATAAATAAAGATACGTACATATTGTCAGACGTTTTCGGAGAGAGGGGGGTTTTGGCTTTGCGGTGGTTTTTGGGTGGGTTTCAGAGGGGGTTTTGGGAGCTGCAAACCACAAGCGTGGCCACCACCGTCGAAAACCGAAAACCAAAAGAGCCGAAACAAAACACCTTATCGCGGGCAGGCACATCTTTAAGTGGCTGTCAACGGAAGTGGTGGGTTGAGTGGGCGGAACCACAAGGATCGAGGGGGAGGTGGTGCGATTATAGTGAAGGACCAGGGCAACTACACCATTTGGCCGAACATAAATCTGCATGAAGTGAACCGAGTAAACCGAGTGAACGAGTGAAGGTGCTGCCGTCGAGAGATAAATAAGTAGCCATTCACTAGATGGTGGGATTCCCCGAATTACGCGCAATAAAAGCTTAAATACTGGATAAATAAACAAACAATAATAATAAGCTAAAGCTAAAGTTCTTGAGAAATCAGAAAACAGAATTCAGAAATCACCTCGGAATTCAAAAGCTGAAAATGTGCTGAAATAAAACCCCTTAAAATAATAACCCTTGAGGAAAATTACCAGGAAATAAAACTTTTTTGTTGGTCCAAAAGCATTTGCTTATTATTTAAGTGTTACAATTCAGTAAGCGTAAAGTTCTCTTAATTTTAAAGCAAAGAAATGGGAAAAGTTAACAATTTTCAATGAATTATTTGAATTATTTTTAAAATGTCTCATAAATGTAAACTAATAGTTTTGATTAGCATTCAGCTAAGAAGGAAATAATATTATTTCATAATAATTACAATTTAAGATGGAAATGGAAAAATTATTTTGGACCTTTATACATTTTTAGTTAGAATTGCAAAAAATATTTCTGACCTTTGATAAATTTTTAAATTATTTTATTAAATCATTTAATATTTTCAATATTTTTTTATAAATGAATAATTATATCTACTTGGAAATATTTTAGAAATATAATACGCATTTACGTAAAATAGCACAAAAATAGCTAAAACTCCCTTCAAAATCAACCCTATCTATCTGTTAGCTAGTTGACTTGGCCAACTCTGTTGCAGCCGTTGTCTACCGCATTTGATCCAAGCCAAATCCCCCTCGGCTCTTGGCTATTACTCTCATGATCAGGCAGCAGTTGTAAGGGGAAGGATGGGGATGTGGAGGAGGCTACTCCCCTTGGTCGCGTCTCCCTTGCCACTCTTAGATTTACTTTACAAAAGCAACATTTTGCCAGTTGCGACACGCCACTCACCAGTGTCACCAGTCTAACCGGCTTGCCATCTACTCTTTTGCAGGCACATCAAATGGAGAGGGAGGATTGGGAGCACCGAAACGAGGAGGAGTTTCTGGGGGAGACCCACCAGCAACCCAAAAGACGACAGGAGCAAATCGCGATTATGACGATGATGACGAGCACAACGACAAGGATGAGAGTCACGACAACAAACCCAACGACTTGGCTGAAAGGGAGCAGAAGAAGCAGAAGGATGAGGGGCAGAGGAAGGTCCTGGAGAAGGACCAAGAGAAGGATGCTGTTGGAAGGCCTGCGGCAAGTCAAAAGCGTGCAGCACAAACGACACAATCGCGAAATCCCATCAGACGGGCGCACAGTGAACGGCATTTGTCGACGGCGCCCACACTGGTGGCCACCACCTCCTCCTCCTCCTTTGCCTCCGGGACGCCTCCATCCCTGACTCCTCCAGGAGGAGCACAGAATGTCATTTTAAATTTTAAGGACACAATGGCGCTGCGCATAAAAAGCAACCGCAGCGACTCGAGAGATTTATTTCAAAGGCGTCCCCGAGATCCGCCACCGCCTCCTCCGCCCAAAGGAGGCAAAGGATTAGAGCCACACGAAATCAATAAGTCGCCTCTGACGCCCCAAAGAACGGTGGTTCGGGTGGCTCCGTTTAACCCACAGGTGGGTGGTTCTGATGGCTTCGCACAAGAGGTGCATCGCCTGAAGATCTCCCACAGCGAAGAGGATACGGGGTTGGATTTGGGTGGTGTGGAGCTGCGCCGCAGGACAAATCTCTGCCCCTCCTCCTTCGACGAAGAGGATGCGGCCCCGAAGAAGACCTCCATCCTCATAAGCGGCGATGATTGCTACTCCACCATGAATCTGAGTGCAGATGCCGCTCAACCACTCTATCAATCCTCCGTGGTCGTCAATAGCCACTCGGCCACGAGTGTTTGCATCAGTGTGAGTAGTGCTGAGGAACAGGAACAGGAACTGAATCATCTGAACAACCTACGCAGTCAGCAGATGGGAATGGGCATAGCCATCATTCCCATTCGAGGTGGCAGCGATCTCCAGCGATCCGTGTCCTGCATCTCCTCCACCTCGAGTAGCTCCACCTCGAGCAGCGGAAGTTCCAGTGGCAGGGGAAGGACCCTCATCCGTTTGGATTACGAGAGGGAAAGGAAGGGATCGGCCACCAGTAGTACCCCTATAAACACTCCACCTGTCATCAGTTCCACGCCAGCTACGCCACCGCCCATGGATTCGGATTCGGATGCACATACCATCCAATCCAATCCCCTGGTTCCCCATGAAACGGAACTCCTAAAGATCCTACGCAATCCCGTAGAGGCAGTGAAACTCAACCTAGTGCCCCATGTGTGTGGTAAATCCAAGAAGGTTCCGAAGGAAGAGGAGCAACCCACTAAGGAGCCCAATTTCATAGCCAAACTGCTGCAGGATCCCATGTTGGGTCAGGTGGCCGAGGGTCTCGAAACGGAAACGGTGGCGGAACTTATAGAGAACTCACTGCAGAGACTCCAGCAAACTCGAAGGGGCATTGACATGAGCGGCACCAAAGACCATGATGATATGAACCGCCTGATAAGCGCCTCGCTGCAGCGAATCCGCCAGGAAAGACAGGTGGCGCCACCTGGAGGAGGAACTAGTACTAGTAGTGCAACCAAAGAGGAGGACCGCCTGTCCAATCGGGGCAGCATCAGTTCCGCCAACAGCTTCGCCTCGGCCCACAATTATGAGCTCTTCGATTTTGAGGGAGGAGTTATGGGTGGCAATGAGTCGGATTGCTATCAGAGTTGTTCCAGTGTTCTGGGAGAAGAACCTCTAAATGGAAGTTCCATCAAAGATCCCGAAACGGAACTGGATCCTGGAACCCGAGCCAAGTTCTATCAGCTCCTTGTGGACGCCACTCTGGCGGAGATCGAGCACTCCACGCATATGGATCAGAATCTGGGCAACGATCATCACTACGAATCGATTCGGCATAGTGGAGATCCTATCTATGAGGAGATTCACGAGGTTCCTCCACCTCTACCGCTCTCCGCTCCTCCTCTGAATGATGCGGAGTTGGACAAGAAGGCTGCTCGTTCTATTTTCGAAGGAGCCTCCAAGTATGACATCCTCTCTTACCTGGTAGATGCCAAGGAACGCGGTTTGGCCCGCGAAGAATCCTTTGACTATGGTAATAACCCCAAGATTATAGAGGAAGAAGCTGCCGATACCCTAAGTGATTTGGATAAGCGACAAGCGGAGGAAAGGGAGAGGGAAAGGGATAGTGGACAGAGCAGCATGAGTTCCCTATCGCCGCCACCTCACAACTTCATTTGTGGGGGTGGGAAAACCTCCTCTGGAAGTGACGTAGAACGCCAGGATTCGGGAGTGGGTTCCGAAACGAGCAAGACATCCCGCAGCAAGTACCAGGCCACCCCAACTGTTCTCCACCTCTGCGAGGATTGCGATGGAGCCGTAGAAATGCAGGTGGGCGATGGAGGAGTCCTGTATGCCCCTCTAGTTTGCCGGAAGTGCGGGAAGAAGCGCGTGGAACGCAAGGAGATCATCACGGAGATCGTGGAGACGGAGGAGAAGTATGGCAGGGATCTGCAGATTATACTCGAGGAATTCTGCCACCCCATGCTGGTGGCCGGCCTGCTCACCCAGGAGCAGCTCTCCGCGATCTTCCTCAATACGGAAGATCTGCTCGAGAACAACCAGACGCTGGCCGAGAGGATGAGGGACGCCTTGGACATGTCCTTGGAGCAGGGCGACGACGATCTGCTGACGGTGAACATTGGTCGTATATTCCTCGACTTCACCCAGATGCTGCACGCCTTCGAGAGCTACTGCGTCAGGCAGGCTGGAGCCAGTCTGCTGCTGGCCAATCTCGAGAAGGAAAAGGAGCTTCTGCGCATCTTCCTGAAGGTCTCGCAGATGGAGAACGCCGTGCTGCGGCGCATGAACCTCAATTCATTTTTAATGGTGAGTAATTAATGGAAAATAATAATGATAAGTATTTTTATAATTTTAAGATATTTAAGATATATTTTAAGACATCACAGAAAATATTATCCTGAAATTTAGCAGAGATTTATCAAAAATTTATAAGATTTTAAGATGCATTAAAATTAATAAATATTTTCTTTTAAATGTTATGAAATTTTTTATCAAATCAAATAAATTTTTATATTTTGTATAAAGTAAGTAGTAAGTAAAGTAAAGTATGTAAAGAAGGTGCTTTCAACATTTTTTAGGGAATATACCAGTAAATATTTTCATTTTGTTTTTGGCCAATTATTTCCCAACGTACAGAAATTAATATCCTAAGATATTATAAGACTTCAGGATTATTTGAAATACATTTTTTCTTTAAAATATAAAATATTCTTTAACCAAATAGAACAAAACTTTTTATCAAAATACTATAACCACTTATTTAATCCCTTTTTTTTATCAGGTTCCCGTTCAGCGCGTTACGAAATACCCACTTTTGCTGGCTCGCCTGTATAAGGTCACGCCCTCCCACCTCGATGGCCGCGATCTGCTCAAACAGGCCCAGGAGAAGATCGAACTGCACCTGAACCACATCAACCAGGAGGCCAAGGATGTGCCCACCAAGCTGTGGCGTAGAATTAGCTCCTCCAGTCCGAATAGACGTGCCTCCTGCGAGATCGACATGATCAACATCAAGCTGCGCAAAATGGCAATCGATGTTCTGGAGTGGAACCACGACGAGGTACGATTCGCCATGGAAGGACGACTGCTTTACACCCAACCCACGGATAGCAATTGGAAGAAGGCCCGCACCATCAAGTTGACCCCGGTCAATGCCCTTTTGGTTACCAATGGCAAGGTGAGTACCAGATTACATCAAGAAAATTAAATTAGGTTTTAAGTATACTTTACTTGATATTTTACTAAAGTTATTATAATCAAGTTTTTAAGTTAGAATTTATTTTAAGAACATAATTTACAAAAGATAAGTTAATGAGTTGTTATAACTTATAACATAGGAAATAAAATAGTTTATTAAAAATAAGAAAGGAAACATTTCTGTATCCAAAAAACCATTACTTTAAAAAACTTTCTCCAGAAAGCCTTTCATTTTAGCTTTTAAATTCAAATTGTTCGTACTATTTCCACGGCATAAATAAATGTGATCTTTAATATACCTATAGTTTGAAATTTTTAGCATTTTAGCCAGTTTCCTTACCAATTTTTCTTTGAGCAATGACCAAAATTGGGTGCATGATGCCTTGGCCTGACCTTTCCACAGAGTTCACTCCTTTTCCTTTGCTCGCTCGAGCACCTCTTGTAGGTGCCTTCTTTCCCATATTTCTCCTATTTTTTCCCCCATTTCTTTCCCCTTGACTAGGCCACATTTGACGGGCATCAAGAGACGTTGGGCGTTTGACACGGGCCAAGATGGCAAAGGCGATTGCGATGGCGATGCCAAGGCAATTAGCGAGCGACGCTATCCAAGTTGCCTCCATGCGGCGGCTCCGGCTGTCCGGAGCTGTCTCGGCTTTTCCGGCTGCCATGGCAACACTTTTCCGTGCGATAAAAGATTTCAACAAATCAGAGCAAAGTCGGCTCGGCTCCATTGAACCGGCACCACATTCACATCTCCACAACCAGCCACCCAATCACCCACTCTCGCTGCCTCGTTCTCGTTTCAGGGTTTTTCTCCTAATGAAAAGTGCTTATCCCAGCAACTATCTCGGGTCCCAAAAACAAAAAAACTGAAACGTAACGAAGGAAAGTGGCATCCTGCCAGGGGTTTTGGGATCGTAGGCGTAATCGGCATACGGACGCAGTGCGTATGTCACATGTTTTGTTTGGTTTTTCTGCTCCGATCGGGGTTTTTATTTTTTTTTTCGCACTGCTCTAAATTTCTGGCCCCGTCCTCGACCGCCGACAATTGCTCAATTCAAGACCCGGTCGCCATCTATCCCACATAGTTCGTTGCCGCCTGTTCCCTTTATTTTTTATTTTTTGCGAGTACGCTGGTCTTGTGGCTCCAGATGCTCCTTGGTACCGCTTCCTGCGGCAGTTTCTCGGGCTGACACGCTTTGTGCGTTTGTACCAGGGCCTTATCTAGGATGGTCCCAGATGCACTGAAGGAGAAACAGTACGGGTTCTGTAGAAAATATAGAAGACAATAAAATATTTTTAGAAAATTTTAAAAGCTTAATTTTACATTAAGGTTATTTAAATCATATTTTAGAAAATAGGCTACTCACCAAACTTTAACTCAATATAATAATATTTTATGTAAGAAACTAATCCTAGGTTATTAGGTATTTACTTAATTTATTTTAGGAAATCGTGGTTTATGGTAATAAATTAATTATTTAATAAAGATTAAATTTTCTAGAATTTATTGATAATTATACCCGTTACTCGTAGAGTAAAAGGGTATATTAGATTCGTGCAAAAGTATGTAACAGGTAGAAGGAAGCGTTTCCGACCCTATAAACTATATATATTCTTGATCAGGATCACCAGCCGAGTCGATCTAGCCATGTCCGTCTGTCCGTCTGTCCGTCTGTCTGTCCGTCTGTCTGTCTGTATGAACGCTGAGATCTCAGCAACTACAAAAGCTAGAAGGTTGAGATTTCCCACACATATTCTTTGGCTTCCTACGCAGCGCAAGTTTATTTTAGCCGAGCGCCACGCCCCCTCTAACGCCCACAATCGCCCACTAACGATTTTAAAATGGGTCCTGCGCCCACATCTTTAAAGATTTCCGAAAAGTAAAAATGCAATTTTGTTGTGTATATTTATACCTATCGAAATGTAGAAGACATTTTTCAAATCGGACCATTCATTAAAAAGTTACACGCAATCAAAATTTATATATCTATCTCCCTCGCACTCCCTTTAGCTGAGTTACGATTATTAGTCGGGACACCAACCCGAGTACAGCGTTCGCACTCCCTTTAGCTGAGTGACGGGTATTAGATAGTCGGGACACCAACCCGACTATAGCGTTCTCTCTTGTTTTTTATAATTTGTAAAATTTAGATATTAATTTATTTAAATGAAATACTTTTAAAATTTTATTTTTTATTTCATGTATTTATTTTATAAATATTACCTAAATAAATCAAAGCATTTTATTTAAGCTTAAAAAATTACTTAAGTCTTATTCAATTTACCTTTTTGTCTCAATGTCTTTCGTCCACCCCCTTTTAGTTGTAATTTTGTTTAGTTTCGTTTTACACAATTTTCAATTTTTTTCCTCTTATTCTGTTCCTTTATTTCCATTGTCGCCGCCTTTTGTCCGTTTTATTTCCTTGTACCACACCAACCGACATCGACGACAACTAAACCTGAAACAACCGACAACCGAACAACCCAACAACCTTACAACAACAACAACAACATCGACCAACAGCCAAGTGCCAATTACAGGGCAGAGAAGGCCATGTCGGAAAAACTGAATTTCCCGAAGCACACGGGCATCCGCGAGGCGTCGCTGCTTTTGGTGAAGGAAAAGTGCGGACGGTACACGCTGATCCGGGAGCCGCTCTATCTGGACAGATGTGTCGTGTGCAGCGAAGCGGATTGGGATGATTATTTCGAAGTGCAGGAAATTTCATCGAAGGACACATTCATATTCAAAGTGAGTATCGAAAGCGGAATCGGAATCGGTATCGGGTAGCAGCCAAGCCCTTTGTTTTCCACTCCAACTGGCCAAAGCCAATTCAGTCCGTAGTCCATAGTCCGTAGTCCGCAATCCGTAGTTCTGTTCCCGTTGAGTTGGCTTTTGAATTAGTGAGAGCCCCCGCCATTTGACTGCACAGCGCTCTGTGTGTTTGGGCTTCGTTAGTTCGCCGGCTTAGACGGGTTGGGAATGATAGTTGCTGGCCTTCTTTTTCCAACCGACAAATGCGGTTAATAGAGCAGCGCAACAGAGGAGTTAACCAACCCAGAAATGGTGTATTTCAACAACATATGGCAAACGTTTATCAAACGGGAGAAGAGGAAAAATGTACGAATATTTATTTTTAGATAAAAAACCAGGTTTTAAAATACTGAAGTAAAAAAATGATTTGCTGGGCATTACAAATATTTATAGGCAGCTGAAAAGGGTCAAAACTAAGAGTATTTCTTAAAAATAGAAATATTTATTTTTTGATAAAATACAATTTATTATCAAACAATTAGTATTATTGATCATTTAAAGCAGTTAATGAGTAAATTATCTTGTAATAAAACTACTATCTTATTAATAAGCAGCTGAAACATGCCAAAAAAAATATTTAGTCATTTTTGAAAGTTCAAAAAAAATTTAAGCAATCTAAAATAAATAGCAAAACCAGTTAAAGACTAAATAATCTTGTATTGAATTTGTGTAACCATTTATAGGCAGTTAAAAATTCTCGATAATTCGAAAACAGTTTTAGCAACTCAAACGGAAAATTCAATATTCGCAAAAAATGCAAAGCAATATGAAATCATCCGGCTTTAAGTGCTTCCCGCACAATCATCTTGGAATGTAATAAAAGTCACCCTTGGATAGCTTCTTCATTCACACTCACATGCTCATAACCTTTTCTAGGGGAGCCAGCAAATTCCTTGGGCAAAAATAAGGGGAAGGAGCTTCAGGACAATGAAGAGTTTACCTTTTGCCGAACAGAAAGTAAAGCAATTTTAATAACAGACAGAGCGCAAAAAGCGTATGCAAAAATCCATTCGAAATCTTTGCCCGTCTAATGCTTGTAGCAGCATCATCCGACCAGCCATCCAGATTTTAGTCATGCAAATTTCCATTTTTTTTCTCTCCTGTTCAGGCCGGGCTAAGCCGTTGGAGAATGGGAGGATAAGGGGGGTCCTGGCCCGCAGGCAGAGATCCTTTCAGACGCGCTCAGGCAGCGCACGTAGAGCGGCTGCCAAAATGAATGACATTTATTGAAATACGTTATATAAAGAATGAAAGAAAAACGCACGGGAGCGCAACAAAATGGCTGCGTGAGCGCTCCGGCGGGAAAAGCGGGCAGGAAAACGGGGGGAAAACGGGGACGAAATGGAGACAGCCAGACTTTGGGACACAGCAAGGCAGACAGATTCGGTACAGGATACAGTCCACAAAACATTTAATTTGTGATTTCCTTTTTAAAAAATATTTAAGTCCACCTATATACATATCGAATTTGGATTTTAAATATTTTTAATGCACCAAGGAAGGCATTGTATCAAATTTTGATTGCCTAGATCGTGTTTTCAAATAATATGAATAACTATTTCAGTTTTTGTAAGACCCAAAATTCTTTGAAGAATGTTTAAAAAAATTAACAATATTTTATAAAGTTTACATTGCAATCAGAAGAGAACAAAAAAAAACAAATTAAATAAAAAAAAAAAAAATTATTTTTTATTTCAATAAAACATTTGCTTAGGATATTTTTATAATATATAATAAAAAAAAAGTTAGAAAAAAATTAAAACGCGTCCTTAATATTTTGAAGGATAGTAAATCGATTTTATTACTGATATTAATTTGATTTTATGTTTCAAAGAGTGTAGGGTTTACACTACTGTGTAGGCTGTTGGAGGCCGGCGGCGCATAAATTGAAACGTTTAGTTCCGGCCAACTGAGCGCCTGACAAGCGGCCGCACCCTCACACTCGCACTTGCATACACACACGTGCGTACACGCACTCCACGAGTCCTGTCAAAATGACATCCTTGTTGGGGTGGGAGAAAAGGGGGCGTAGAAAGGGGAGTGGCAGGGGGTAGGGAGATCGTAGGTCGCGGCCCAGTCAATCAAATACGTCTAACGGGTTTACACGCCGCTTTATTTATTCGCAGGCCGAGGATGGCGTAAGGACGAAACAGTGGTACACACAGATGCAGTACCACGCCCAGGGCATGGGGGCGTGGCGAAAGAGGCGTAACGCCCTGGCCAACATCATGATCAACGGAATGCTGGCGAGGAGTTAGCCTAGCCCATCGACATCACCATCCCAGAACCCAAATACCCAACCCAAAACCCAAACCGGATACCGATTATAGACGTTATACAAAAGGACGTATAGTAAAACTCAACAATTGGTTATGCATTTAATGTGTATTTATGCGCTATTAACCAACGAGCAATTTCGTTTCGTAATTATAATTTAAGTGATATACAATTGAATCGAGCACGCATAACGCTAGTTAGTGTTTACATAATACCTATATCTACATATACCTATACCTAAACCTATACCTTTATATATTATGAATAACCATACGTACGTACACACACGAATACCCTGAATCTGAATCAGAATACAATGCAATAAAATACCATATACACTAATTAAACACTTCAAATTGCGTAATAATTGAGAGGCTATTTGTTTTCGGGGCTTGCGTCATAAATCCAGCTTGTGTGGCGCCACCTGGCGGCAATCTTTGGTGAGGAGCCTTCCGCCAATAAATCTCACAATCCTGTATTATTTTTAAATTTAGCCCCCAAGATTTATGGGGCAAACGGGAGAATTATACAGGGCATCGAGGCACGCACGTGGCCCAGACTAAGTCCAAAACAATCACAGCCACTGCCGAAAAGTGCTTGTAAATATTTTCGGTACTTTACAAGGAGAGTAGAGTGTTTGGCCCAGTTGATTAAACCATTTTAAATCCCATGAACACTCATATTTGGTCAACAATAAAAACACTCAAGTGGTAAGGGCTCTCTGGCTCTTTATTATTTGTTTAATTACACAAACAACAGGGGCAGATTATTATGGTTAAACACGAAACGGTAATTGTTATGACCAGCAATCGCTACGACAATTGTAATGGGCCAAAAGTGAAAATAAATATGTGAACGGGATTTGGCTGTCGGACCTTCTATATCTATACATCTGCGGTTACCACTGGTTTAGAACCTAATCGATGGATATATATTTTGCTAATGGATTTTGGTAGAATTTTTCTGTGCACAACAAAAATATAGAAATTGCTTTTACTATAAAAAAAAGAATGATTAACAATCCAATATCTGTGTTTATATTCCTTTTTTATACCGCTTAGAGAAAAAATATTATTTTAAAATATAAAATTATACTTAAATATATTTTATATCTATTAAACATTAACTTAATATTTTTTTTAATTTTTACTCTCGATTTTAAATTAAATTTCTTATTAATCATAATTTTCTTTTTGTGTAGCATACATTTTAGGGCTGTGCAAAACTGTGGTTATTAACTTTTCATTAGTTTATTAAGCCATCGAGCTTTATTACATCCACTGCTGTTTATCTAGATTCCAATTCCAGACACTCTACATGCCAAACTGTATTAATGGAAACGCTCTCGACCTCGTCTGTTTTCCGTTTTCCCTGCGGTTAACCCCACATAAACAACAACAACAGCACTGCGGACACGTTGAAATTAGTTGGGCTAAGGCAATGGGAAAATAATTTCCAGACTCGCCTGCGGCGCATCAAAGCCTTTGATGGCTTCCGTTGTAAATTATACTAATACGCCACGTAAACAAGTTCCAAATCCTTTAAAGCCTCGCAAGAAGGCAAAACTAGGGAAAATTGAAAAACGCCGGCAATGGCGACGCGTCATTCGTAGGAAAAATATTGTAGCCACTGCCAGGAGAAGCAAAAGCAAAGGCAACGGCAAAGGGAAACTGCATGCTGAGCGCAATTATGCTGGACAAACATTTACCAGTCAGGCGGAGCAACCGTGACTGATGCACTGAAAGATAAAACCTTTCATTCATATATTATAATAATATAATATACATAAAAATGTCAAAATAAAATATTACAAAAAAAATTTTAAGTTATTATTAAGGGATATTTTCATTAACAACAAAACATTAAAGTCAGGGAAGATGTTTTTCTGATAATATGAAGATTCAAAATAAAAATAGTAAAAATAGATTTTAGCAAAATGTATTATTATTCTTTGTAAAACTCCAAAATATTTGTATCAGCGATAACATATTACAGCAAGGTAAGATGTTCTTCTCGATTTTGAATTTAATAGGCTTTTGGATAAAAAATTGAATCATGAAATGTTTTTATAATTATTATAATATATACAGGTTAATAAGAATGTAAAAAGAATATTCAACAAAAAGTACATTTTCCTCTGTGCATTACAAACGACTGGGGTGGCAGGTGGAAATGGGCTTGGAGGTCGGTACTTAGCATGCACCTTGGCACATACACTCCAAACCCAACCGATGGCACTACTTTCAGTGTTCAGCTCCGATGCTTGCCAAACACAGACAGAGAGACATAGAGTCGGAGACTCAGGGACTCAGGGATCCAAAGGCTTCGGCCCAAGTCAGCTGGAGATGTTGACTAGGTCGTGAACGTGTTATAACAATAGGGTGTCACGATGGCTGGAAAGGATGTGAAGGCAGAAAGGCAGCGGCACTAGCTAGCGACTAACACTAACGAGCAGTTAAACAAGCTTAAGATTTGCCGACGCAAATAAAAACACCGTCGGAGACTCAGAACCACCGCCAATCCCGCCCAGAAATTGCTGCCAAGCGGAACGGAATAGAAGGGATGGTAGGGGAACCCCCAAACGGAAGTGCGGATCGGCGTGCAATAACATAACCAAGGCACGTAGCACAAACAACGTACATTATATTGTATAAGCAGACTTCATTACGGTATTTAAACAGAATATCCACAAATTCCGACATGCCAACTGAGGCACCGTGGATCACAAAGCCCAAAACTGGTTACAGGATACAATTTTCGGTTGGGTGTTATATGACTTGGGGCGACCATAAAAGGAAACCCCAATTGAATTATCCATATGGGAGAGAACAATACACAGCAAAAAGAGCTAACAATGCTGCATATGAAATGAGATTAAAAATGTATTCCTCTCAAAAACTTTTTTAAAAAACAATTTATAAAGAAATTTTTTTTAAAAAACTAACAAAGCAAAAATTCTATAGAAAAGTGAGTAAAATTTAACGTTTTGTGTAGACATTTTTATTTCCTGGGTTTTCAGTTCTTAAAATAACTTCCAAAAAATAAGTATTCTTTTCTGAGTGTAATTGCCTTCCCACAGGAAAAATTCAACAGTTTTCTGTGGCTTTCTCATTGCAGGACTCATAAATTGAATTATCTGCTTTCATAAATTCAATATTATTGCTTCATAATTTTGGATATGATAATTAAAACTTTTGGTGCACCTGCCCGAGTAAAAAAGAGAGTACCAGAACCCAGTTCGCTTTCAATAGCCAAATTAAAATGGAAGCCACATAAGTGGCAGTGTTATTGGAAAACTTGCCACAAACTCCACAAACATTTTCGGCAGCGAAACTTTTGCATTTCACCCATGGTGCTTGAGGGCGTGCCAATATCCAATACCCACATACCCGCATCAAAAACTCAAATTGTGAGCCAGTGGAGCGAGTCGAAGGCGATGGCGAAGTCAAACTATTCGAGGACCGCAAGTCGGTCCAAGTCTGAGTTTCTTGTAAAAAAATGCATCACGTACGGCGAAGGTTGGCGTCTGATTCCCGATTCCCAATGATGCCTGGCAATGTGATTAGACCCCAGGCACACTGAATGCACAAAAGTTTTTTCTACGAATCCCACACAGACATATGCTGCCTTTTGGGCAATAAAAATTTGTCGCTAGGCCAATAAATGTAGACCATATCCAAAAAAAAAGTCAAGAAACCCCAGCGCTAAAAAAAAGAACTAACCGAAAAAACCATTTCATTGCTGTATTTAAAACGCCGCAAAACTTCCAAGCCACAGCACCAAAAAAAATGAAAAGGACACAATGGAAAAACAGGTGAGACAAGTCAGGCTTCCCTCCTTTTTTCGGTGCGCAAACAGATTTGAAGTAATAAAAAATTGAAATTAAAAGTTCCACTTCAGTTGACCACTGGCCAAGTGGCCACCGCGAATGGCGACACAGTTTTCACACGAAATAGGTCGTAAAAATTATGAGAAAATCCGCGGTTAAAGGTGGCCAGGCGATAACTGCCAGAGATGCCAGCTATTTTGGGGTCATTATTCGGTTAGCTTTTGGGGAAAAACAGCCATTTATAGCAAGTCGGCTGAACATTTGCTTCTCTTTTATATTTTTGGTCATGATATTTAATTTAATTTTCCTGAAATTTAATTCTCTTTCGTCCGAAATTTTTTAGCTATGAAGTTCTTTATTTAATATGAAGAGGATATAATACTTTTGTGTATATAACTCAAATACATTTCTAAATATTTATTTTAAGATTTAATATCATCTCTAAATATGTATTCTTTAGAAAATACTATTTCATTATAATAATAATTAATAATAATACATTTAATATTAAAATATTCATTCATTCCTTTTAGACATTTTAAAAAATTTTAGATATTAATATCTATTAAGTCTTATGTTTAACTCCTTTTTGGCGTCAAACCATTAGAAAATTTTCACTTTGGACTCATTCTTCTTCAGTTAACATCTCTGATATTCGCCTAAGGTAAACTTGTTCTAATATTACCGCCCCTCACCACCCACAACAGCCTGCTTTTCTATCCACTTTAGCTGGCTGCTCAATGAGGTCAATAGGCAGGCATTTCATTTCCATAATTTTCATTATTTCGCGCTTAGAGCAAATCAAACAAATCGTTTTTACGGGAACAAAAGAAATTTTAATTGTTTGGCGGCCTTGTCAGATGTGCCTGTGTGTGAATTTGTGTGTTAGAACAAGAGTGTTAGTGTGCGTCTAATCAAAATTGCTGTGCACACACATTCAGCATATTTCACACATCGTAGCCGACGGAAGAGGACATAAGAATAATGTGCGACACGTTCGGGCATAAACCGAATTAAGTATACGCCGCGTTTGCCAGTCAGCCAGTCGAAGGAAAAGGAAAAGGAGGAGAACCTAGCAAAGCCTGGAGTTTCGGAGTCCGAGCCGCAAAAACCAACCGCACACACACAAACACACTCGCACACACACACACGTAAACACACTTTACGCCAAGTCGCATCTTTATGCGTTGTAGCTGGCTCCAAAGTGGCAAGCAAACACCCCCAAACCACCCACAATTTCCCCACCCCCACCACAGCATGTGCTAAATATGTATGAAAAAAAATATAAAAAAAAATAAAAATCAAATAAAACAAAAAAAAGCGAAAGAAAAGTGTGGCAAAAAAGTTTTCTGTGCGCACGCCGTGGAAAGGCCAACGTCTAAGTGAATTTGCCATAGTCAAATTTTGTGCGGCTTGCCTTAGGTCAGGTCTGCGAACGAACCACGGGGTTACGGAATATGAGAATACGGTCTCAAAATTCTCACCCAGCTGAAAGTGCATGAAATTTGCATTAATTTGGCTTGGCCAAGAGCCTCATTCAAACAATTTCCACCCGTAGCCGCACAATAAAATCCCCAATTTCGAATTATTAAAAATTTCAAATAAATCAAAAATTTGACCAACATAACCGCCTCTTGCATTTTTTCTTCTTTTTTGGTAAATCCCAAAACGACAGCAGCTGCCGGCGAACATCGTGACCGACTGCCGCCGAGTTCAGTGTGTCAATCGAAGTTTAACGGTCAGCCGAGCGCTATTTACAGAGAAATCCGCTGACAAAAGCGCGCGCTTGAGCAGTGAATTGAGTGGCTTGGAAAAAGACTCAAGAGCAAATGGGTGCTGCCTTCGAGTGAGACTCGAATTCTTGAGGAAAAACTCATGAGACGCCATTTATCCTGGCTTTGGCTGAAATGCAAACTACGGGAGGGGTTATTATAAACTTTACTACCACCAGAAATTCACCACGAAAGAAAAGTTACCAAAGGAAAGCTGGAGAAAAGCTTAGTTTTCAAAAAGTAAAATTTGTTTACACTTGTAATATTTGTGTAAATTAGTGTGGCCATTTATCGGCAGACCGGAAATGGCTGCATTTTCTGACAAAAGTTTTTTCTAGAATGGACTTAGAATGGCGGGAATGGACTCTCTTCTAGCAATAATTTGATTCGGTAAAAAACAAAAGTTTCTGTCACAAACGCCATTTAGACTTTATATTTTTTGTTTAATAAAATAAACCGAAATATTATATTTTTGCTGGAGCTTAAAAACAAAGCACCTACAAATGTTAACAAATATTAAGCTTATTACAGGTAATAACAATATTATTTGAGCAATTCAAAAAGTCTTTAAATGTTTCATAAATTAATTGATCATTAGTTAAGAGTAACAAAAACTGGCAACCTAAAATAAAAGAACTTTCCAAACTCACTAATATTCACGACCCCAAAACAGCATTAGCCAAATTCAATTTTAAGTTTTAGTTTTTCCAAGTTCCCAAATTGACCTTCTGTTATCCGAGGAAAACACTTAGGCGGCAATTGGTCATTGACTGGAATCCTTGGAATCCTTTAAGAAGTCTCCCGTAGGCCCGTTGCGAAATTCTGCCAAAGACAAGACGCTAAGATGTTTGCTTAGCTGGCAGGAGACTTTAAACTTGGGGGAATTTGCATACATTAAGGGTGTTTTGTTATTTTGTTTAGCAAAAGGCAATTCAAATCCTTTTACTTCCGCTTTAGGCAGCAACGACTACGGCAAAAGACAGATGCGACTGATAGCAGGATTCACATTTGCACCACCGCCCCCTTTCCCACTGGTTTTCCTGAACCTGAACCCCTTCCTCCCACCAGTTTTCCCATCCGTATTTAACGGTGACGCGTGCGTAGCGTATAAAGAAAAATATGATTACATATTGTTGTATTTTTGAGAAGTCGGGGGTAGCAGTGGAAAAGGGTTGACATTTTTTGTGGGGCCATGTCAGAAAGCGGAGCCCAGCCACTCAGAGGCAATCAGCTCCGATTCACTAATAAACACCGAGAATAAATTCAATTGGTGTAGTTTGATGTTAGAACCACATATATTTTATATTTTATTTGTTATCTGTTTATAGGCGTTTTTGATTTTTTTGATATTTTTCAAACATTGATGCTTATTGGAGGCATCGATGTTTTCTGATAAATATTAATTAAAATATTTGTTGTAGATTTGACTTTTTTCCCGGAAATATTAAATTTTTTGATACAATATTGTGAAATATTTATTAAGCTATAATTTCTGGGATTCCCGTGACACATAAATTTAAATTTAATAAATTAAACAAAAAATCTCTCAGTGCAGACAACTTTCAAACAAATAGCCAACAACAACAGCCGATGCGACAACAAGGGCAACAATGGCGGCATTCAATTTTTAATATTTGCCTTGCAAATTTTCTATAAAATGCATTTGTTGTCTACAGGCCTCCAGGCCTCCATCCCCTGGGATTCCCTAACCCCGCACCGCCCCCTTTAAAAATTGGTGGGCGGAAGAACCGGAGACCGATGACTGGCGGAGGAGGGCACACTATCGCCCAACAACACCCGAAACTAGGAAAATTCGAAAGGGGGAAAACGTGGAAACTGGCAACAGGAAGCAGCCAGCGCCGGGCCAAAGTGGAAAAACGGGAAAGTGAATGGAGCACGGCAATGTCAACACATGGAAATTGCAAGGACAGCGCCAGAACAAGAAAAAAAGAAAAGAAAACGGTGAAAAACGAAAAGGGAAACGAATAGCAGCAGACACGGCAACTATAAACTGGAATGATATTGCCAACGAACATAACATAACCACACTGAAAGAAATTATTGACAACAACTAAGATGGATTGAATCTTAATTATTAAAAAAAATTGGTTCAAAAAGGGTGATTGATTTCCTATAACTCGGGGAAATTAAATTTGTTCCCTATGCTAACAATAAATATAATAAAATAATAAATAAAACAAGAAATATTTTGTAAAATAAAAACATTAATATTGAAAAATATATTTAAAATGTTTCTAAAAATTAAATACCTAATTATTATAAAAGTTTTCATATGTAATTCAAGTGTAGGGTGTCTAAGTATTATATTATATTTTTCTCGGTGCATCCAAATGGCAAGAGCGGAGCTAGTGAACCCAGTAGGACCCAAGATAGCTCCTAGAACGAAGTTAGGCTGGGCCGGGCGGAAGTAATAAATTGGTTAGGTAAAAAGCTTGTCGCAAACGCAGACACCGGTAAAAAGCGGCACGCGAGGCCGAGACAGGCCCGTAATTTTTGAACCCACCAAAAGGCCAATGGAGGCGGAGTGAACTAGAGGATGCAAGCCAAGGATGGTTTATTTCCCATGAGGTTGCAAATTAATACTAAATGTCTGCCATGCAAATACATAATTGACTTTAAATTTGTTTTGACAAGAAGAAGTGGAAAACTTTGGCAACTATGATGTAGGAGAAGTAGGCAGGAGAAACTGCAAGTTTTGTATCTGACATAAGTGCAACCCACTTTAAAATCGCTTTCCATGCAGAATATTATAATTTAATAAGAGATTTTATGAAACATATATTTGGGTATTAACGGAATTTATTTAATAGATACATATTTAATATAATAAATAAAAAGAAAATATAAAGAAATAAATATAATACTTTTACATTTAAAAAGTTAAAGCCTCAAATATTTAGGTTTTAGGGATTTCTTATTTCTTATTGTGAACTTTCTTGATGGCCACGCTGGTTATATCGGCCTCCTTTAGCTCCTCATCCGTGGTTCCATTATAGATGTGCTTTAGATAGAGATTAAAGTAGTCCGTGTAGTTCATCGGCGTGGAAATCTGATGCTTTCGAACAGGCAGCCGCGGCGAAAGAGACAACATGCTGGCCCACTGGCCATCGCAGAGGTCGTCATAGCGCAGCAGACCCACCTCATGACCTCCCAAATCCCCGGGTCCACGACACATGGGCTGCTGACCATCCCACAGTTTCAGCACAAACTCTCTTATCCACCTGGCCAAATAAAGAGCTCGGCAATCGCAGTGCCAGGGATTTTTGTCCAGCTTGACGGCTACCAACTTCTCGAGGCCATGAAGTGCTCCATTGGGCAGGAACATTAGCTTGTTGGAGTCAATGCGGCTAATAAATATAATTAATTATTTAGAATAACTAAATGTATTTTCCCCCAAGCAACTCACAGTTTTTCCAATTGTGCTAGAGGCTCAAAAGCTCGGGAATCGAAATTCTTAAGAATATTATTATTGAGCAGCAAAATCTTTAGGTTGCTCAGTCCCTGAAAATCATCAGCTTCCAAGGTGGTTAGATTATTGGAAAAGAGTGTCAGCCGAGTGAGGGCACTGACATTCAAGAAAAGATCAGCCGGAATGCTGGACATGGAGTTCTGACCCAAAAAAAGTTCATGAAGGTTATTTAGCTCCACAAAGGCGTTGCCATCCATCTTTAAAAAATAGTTATATTGCAGTTAGCGCTAAAAATATCAACATTATAGAAATTTTCACAAAATCGTATCGATAATATCGATGTTTTTATGGAAAATAAACTAAAATTTAAAATTATTATTTAGATGTTTAAAAAAATATTGAAAATTTCGATTACGTCAATATTTTTCCAACTCTAAATTAGAGTTACTCTTACATGACTTATTCGATTCGTGGTCAAATCGAGGGTGACTAAATTGGCCAAATTATTAAATATGGTTCCCGACAGCGATGAGATGCGATTGTTGTGCAGCGAAAGAGTTCGCAGGCTTTTCAAGCCCACAAAAAAGTCATCATCAATTTTGGCTAAAAAATAATAATAAAATAAATAAATAATTTATTCCATATATTCGATTCACTTACATATTTGATTCCATCCAAAGTCGAGGGTCTTCAGCTTGGTCAAGTATCGAATGCTGCCCGAACTGAGCTCGGTGATTTTATTGCGGGACATGTCGAGCTCCTCCAACATTAGTTGATCTCGCAGAAGGTTGGGCGGAAAGTTCTGGATCTGATTGTCGCACATATTGATCACGGTGAGTCGCTGGGCATGGTAGAATATCGATTCGGGCAGCATGCCAATTTCGTTTTTGCTCAAATCCAAGATATTCAAATTGCGAAGCTTCCAGAAGGTGCGATGATCAATGTCTTCCAGTTGATTGTTTTGAATGCGCAGCACCAGCAGACTATCCAGATCTTGGAATAAATCAAAGGGCAGAAAGTCCAGCACATTGTGTGATATATCCAATTCCTTCAGAACCGTCAGTCCACGAAAGGTGTCCTTGTGCAGGGTGGACAAGATGTTGCGGGAAAGATCTCTATAGGGGAAAAATGGCATAGTAAAAATAAATATCCGCATTTAATTCCAAGATTCCTAATGAATAAAAAAAAAAAAAAAAAAAAAAAAACGTAATACTTATTATAAAACATTTAATTGCATGATTTATTTTAAACTATTTTAAATAAAGAACAAACATATTAAATAGTATTTAATAAATACATTGCTAGACGAATTTTAGCAACTTTAAATATTATTCGGCATTAAATAAAAGTATTTTATATGTAAGTCAATCTTTAAAATGTTTAATTTACTTAAATTGTTAATTGCTAAATGTTATATTTTTTTATATAAAATTTAAGAAAATCACAATAGATGAAAACCATGGCGATATTTACTTGGGAACCATTTATAAAACGATATCTCGTAAAATAACTTAGCACACTCACATGTTCACCATATTCATGGGTATCACCTGGGTGACCGGCACTGACTTAAGATTGGTGTTCCAGCAGGTGAAGCTCTTGGTGTCCGGATTGCAGCGACACACGCCCGAGGTGCAGTGATTCCACTCGATCTGACTGCCAGTGGCCAAGTGCCAAATGGGCTGCTCCACCGAACGAAGGCGACTCTCAATTTGCCTCACCCGCTTCACCAGATCGAAGTTCGCCAAATGCGACATGGCATTCACCTCGCCACTACTTCCATCACCTCCGTTGCTATGACCATTACCTTTGGGCTTGGAAGGTTTTTGATCGTTGGATTCAGTGCTCGTTCCATTTGGCATCGAATTAATGAGCATCAAGAGCTGTGACACGATGCCCAGTGACTCACAGGCATTCAAACTGCAATTTCTGGTATCCGAGGAGATCAAAGGCAGCAAATACCTCTGCCGAAACTCATCCAGACTCTGGGTGGGCACATCCTTGGCCTGCGGAGGTCCTGTGATCACCTCGGCGGGATCCATTAGCAGGATTAGGCTGACCAGTTGAAAGATTCCCAGCGACATGTCTCCAGCGATTTCCACCGACGTTCTGAGACGTCTGCCGCGATCTGCAGTCCCATTTATAGTCCACTTCCATCCGAGATTTAATTCGTAATTCAAATAATTTGCGAAAATTTGCATTTACTGCAATTACCCTTAAGTAGTAAGTCAAAGCGCCACATGGGAGCCGGCGAATTGCAGCGCATCTTGTGGTCGCCCAGGCCTCACCAGAATCAACGGAATAAAGAGATCAGCTTGAAACTGAAAGTCTCTGTTTGCCCGCCTAATCATCAACGGAATAATCAGTGGAAAAGCTTTGGGAAACCCCCCAGATCGCTGACTCGTAATCCTTGTAATTATACCCGTTACTCGTAGAGTAAAAGGGTATATTAGATTCGTGCAAAAGTATGTAACAGGTAGAAGGAAGCGTTTCCGACCCTATAAACTATATATATTCTTGATCAGGATCACTAGCCGAGTCGATCTAGCCATGTCCGTCTGTCCGTCTGTCTGTCCGTCTGTCCGTCTGTCCGTCTGTCCGTCTGTCTGTCTGTATGAACGCTGAGATCTCGGAAACTATAAAAGCTAGAAGATTGACATTTTGCATGCAGATTCTAGGAGTTCCTACGCAGCGCAAGTTTGTTTTAAAAGGGTGCCACGCCCCCTCTAACGCCCACAAACGCTTATATAGGATTTTAAAAATCTCAACATTTCGGAAAAGTAAAAATGCAGTTTTATTATGTTTATGAATACCTATCGAAATGTATAAGAAATTTTTTAAATCGGACCATTCGTTAAAAAGTTACGGCGGATCAAAGTCCCTTTAGCTGAGTAACGGGTATCTCATAGTCGGGGCACCCGACTATAGCGTTCTCTCTTGTTTTTAATTGGATAGACAGTCGAGTGCGCTATTGTCAAGCATGGTCGGAAAAGCTTTACCTAATATTTTATACCTAAAAATATTAAAACAAAAATAAAAACATAATTTGAATAACAAAAAACCATTTATTAAATTCTATTTTATTTATTTACTTGCCTGATTTGAGTTTACACCTATTATTTTGGCCTCAGCTGCATGACTATAACTATCATTCCCTAGGTTATAACTTCGTTAAATAAAATCATTAAAATATTTTATGTTTCAGGTTTTAAATAATAAGGAGTAGCTCTTCAAAATAAGCTTAACTCGACATTCATGTCCTGTATATTTAATACTAATATTTTTCATTGTTTTCATTACTAAAATCCTTACCTTAATCCTCGAGTTGAAGAAAGGAAAACCCTCTAGTGAAAAACAGTTCAAATCAACGAAAGGTCCTTTTTAAAGAAGCCATCTATCGAAAAAACTTCCATTTATTTCGAAAAAAAAACCGTAACCAGTATTACGTATATTCCAAAAACCCACCCTCCCCAGCCAAGTATTTTCTTAAACTCATCATACAGTGGGCGCTTTCTGCAAACCCCCCCAACAAAAAATAACAGTTTATTGAAATTTCCCCAACATTTAACGGGTATAAGACTAAAAGCTCTTCCTGGACTGACACCGCTCGAAAGCCAACTCGATGGGCTTTACACAGAGCCTGTCCGCAATGTCCTTGTACTTGGTCAAAAGGCTGTTGGGATAGGGCAATGCCCGCAAATCCTCCACGTAGTTCATGTGCATTCGCTCCAGTTCGCCGGGTAAACGGATGGGTTCCGACTCATCCGCCGGCTGGCTATCCTGAATGCGACCACAAAAGTCATCCAGGCGTTCCATAAAGTTGGGTAAAAAGAATTCGGGATCGAGGGCAATGAAAACTTGACCTAAGTTCGAGGGTTGCTTTTGGTCCAGCGGTATGTGGGTGGCATATTGGGCGCCCGAGAGGACGCCACACAGAAGATCAATCATGGCTGAAAGGCAATATCCTTTGTGACCGCCGGCGGGGAAGAGTAGCGGTGTCCTCAGCGCCAAGCTGGGAAAGCAAGTGGAGAAGCCTCCCTCATTCGCCGCCCAGCCATGCGGAATATACTCATCATTCGCCCAAGCCCATTCAATAGCTCCAATATCCCTTACACTACTTGCCATATCCAACACAAAATGATATTCCTTTCCCTTGACACAAAAGGCCAGACAATTGGAGCCAATGCTGGCCGACTTGGCGTCGGGAGCCATCATCGTGGGAGCCGAATTGGACATCACCATGCCGGCCAATCCCTTGACAGCAGCCCGAAAAGCAAACCAGCCTGCCATTCCGATGTGATGCGATTGCTGGGCCACCACGAATCCAATGCCCGCCGTTTGAGCCTTCTGCACCGCCAGATCCATGCAAAAGTTGCCCACAAGGACGCCCAGAGCGGAGTTGCCGTTCACATGGGCAGTGGCCACTGTTTCGCTGATAATACATGGCTCTGCATCCACCCGGGCATGTCCACGCTGCAGATCACTGAGGTAGTAATCCAGGCGATTCAGTCCGTTGCCAAAGTTCCCTCGATAATCGGCCACAACGAGGAATTCGCTTATACTTCGCACCTTGGAGGCGGAAACTCCCACTCGCAGCAGGCAATCCTGGATGAAACGACGCGCCTCGTCCACCAGGACCAGGGAGGTCTCGCTCCTCTGCTGCGGAAAGGGCACCGCCATGTGGTAGCCACAAAGGCCGCTTCCAAGCCAAAAAGCTGGCCGGAGAAGCGCCAACATTTTTAGGAGCCGGATTTCATCCAATGGAAAGATTTAACTGGGGTTGCTATGAGTAAATATATTTTATGAAGCTTTAAGGGAGTTTTAAAAGACTTTTCAAAATTACTTTAACAATAGATAGGGTTTTTAAAATTAAATGCAGACTTTTAAGGAACATTATAAAAAAAAAGGTAACGTTTTAAATCATTTAACTTTTAAAGAAGGATTTTAAATCTCAAAATTATAAAATTTATAAAGTTTTTAACTTTTTCTGAAGCGATATAGATAAAGATATTATCGGGGGTAATATGTAGGTTTATAGTTTAATATCTTGTGCTAATCACTTAGTTCAAAGCCGTGGAAGTCAAAACGGCGACTCCTCGCTCATAGAAGCTGTGCGAATCTTGTCCAGCAGCCACGGCCAAGTCCACGGTGAAGAGCAGCTCCGTACGCGTGGAATTCAAGTAAACCGGCAAAGTCAACTTGCTGATGCGTGGCTCCGAGGAGATCCTATGAGAAATTAAAGAATTAATAAAGATTCAATACTCCAGAAAGCTAAAACCCACTTCATCCACTTGAGAATGGTCACCGGCAGATCCATCATGATGGTGGAGGCCAGCAGCAGCTCGTTGTTCTTGCACTGGGCGCCCTGCAGCTTGAGTCCAGTGACCCCAAAGCAGCAGTCCTTCTGATCGGTCTTCAAGCCAGCATCTGTGATGGTCACATCCAGGGCGAGCTCCTCCAGCGACCAGCTGTTCGCCTGGGCCACGCACTGCCTGGTGGCCGTGATGTAGGCCTCCGGATTGAGCAGACCGCCCAGCCAGACGGGGAAGCCCTGCAGCTCCTTGGCTCCAGCCTGCGACACCAGCTGCGATACCTTCTGCAGCTGCTGCACACGGTTGCTAAAGTCCGTGATCCACTGGATGACGGTGCAGCCAGTAGGAACGGTATAGCGCTTCCAGCCCTTCGGAATGATGCCTCTTACGAGTTCAGAGAGCATCGAACGATGGTGATTGGTCTGCTTCTTCTCACCCTGGCAGATGAGCACCACATCCTGGAGGTCCAGGATCACCGTCTGCAGCAATCGCGAACCACTGGTCACCTCGCGTTCAAAGTAGCGATACAAAGGATCCTTGATGTTCTCCACCGTACGCTTGAGCACCTGCAGAGTCTTCGGCAGCAACTCCAACCAAGCGGTGGCTGAATTGTGCAGCGTCTTCATCCAGGATGGCCGTCCATCTTCGCCTTTGCCCACCGCTGACTGCTCCTGATCCTCCACGCTGTAGGCCAACTCATCGTCGTCTTCAAGCTGCTGCATCTTCAGCAGCTTGCTGACCAAATCGGTTCCACGTGTAGTAAGCAGCACCTTCTCCGCATTGTTGGGCAGTCCCAACCAGGAAGGCGTCTGCCGGTCGGTCAGGTTCTCAATCCACTTCAAGAAGTGATCGCGACGCGTGCCATCGGGCATGGTGATGTGACGCAGTCCACCAGAGGCGCCATCCACATTGGCCACCAGCGCAAAGTCTGCCTCGAAGCTGCGGGCGGTGAAGAGCTTCTTGAGGAACGAAGTCAGCAGACGCTGATCGAAATCGTTGTCGATCTTGCCGCCGTAAATGGACTGCGACAGCAGGGTGACCAGGGCATCCCAGGGAACCTTCTCGGGCGGCAGATTCGTACGTCCCATGGCCGTCGTATCGATCCAGGTGTCCAGTGTATCGCAGGCCACGCGCAGATCCGACTCATTAAACTCGTACTTCTTGGCCCAGCCGAGGGGCACGTAGCGCAGACGCTCCTGAACGATGGCATGGAACCAGGCGAGCAGGAAGTAGAGGCGAGCCCGCTCACTGGGCGTCTTCATCATGCGGGCGGCTGGAACCGTGGAGAAAGTCCTCAGCAGATTGGCGCGAATGCCCGGTGGTGGCTCAAACACAAAAATGCGACCAGCACGCAGTAAATTAACCGGCACCTTGGGATTGATCTCCATGGTGAGGAAGAGTCGGAAGCCGGAGTGCGGCTGCAGCGAGTGCATCTTCTTCTCCAACTGCACTAGCCACTGGGGAGCCAAATGGACGTTCTTCAGGAGAACCCAGCGACCAGTCTTGCAGGCCATATTGATAGCCCTTTCAGCTTGATTGAATCCCTCGGCGGATCCAATGGCAATGCTGGAGATTTGCTTGTTCTGCTCGGCAGCCAAATCATCCACTCTTCCGGAGGCATCGAAACCAGGCACCGAGCAGAGGAGCGCCGGCGTATTGCAGTTCAACTGCTTGTCCACCACTGCCGTGAAGTCCAGCTCCTGCTCGGCATTGGTCATAAAGTCTTCGCCCAGCACAGTGTTGACCACATTGTGGGCGGCGGCAATCACACGATCCGGTCGGAAGGCCTGAATCAAGAGCAACTGATGCACGGAGCTGGCAATCGGACTGAGTGCCTTGGATTCGTCCCACAGCTGGGGGACAACCTGCTCGGGGGAGCTCTGCTGCAGCCAGGCGCCCAGTTCGGGCATGGAACGCACCTTCTCGAGGAGTTTGCGGAAAATGGGAAGCCGCGTGGCCAGTCGATTGACGCTCTCGATCTGCTCGCCTGAAAGTCCCTCCACGTGAGTGGGATTCGCAAGCAGACCCTCGCGACTCCGCAGGAAGAAGTTGAACTCGGCATCGAGATTCGATTCCGAGGTGCCCTTTAGATGAATCTTGCACATGAGCAGTGCGAAAGTCAAACGATCATTGTGGATCATTCCGCGAGCCACACGCTCATAGCAGACCTGGAAAAGATCCCTGGTCACAATGCCCAGACGCTCCGAGTGATCCGTTCGGCCCTCCAGTTTGGGATTGTTGTATAAAACAGTGGAGAATATATCCAAGAACATCTTGAGTGAGTACTGGTAGAGGAAGTGCACCTGGTTCAGGCTGTCCATGGTGAAGTAGATGTTGCTGCAAGCCACCGATAGAGGCAGATATTGCTGCGACACCGTTTCTATTTCAGCTATAACCTTGTCCGTTTCATCCACCTTTTGGTTGATATCATAAGCCTCCTTTTTGAGCGTCTCCAATGTAGTAATCACCGAATCGTCGTCTAGAATCTTGCCCTTGGCATCGTTGAGCGCCTGCAAAAGGCTCTTCTCCAGCTGGCGCAAACGCAGGCGGAACTCTCCTTGAAGCTTCAGCAGATCCGAGCGCTTCTCATCGATATCCGGACGCTCGGCCTTGAGCACCTGGTTGAGGCACTGTGACTGCAACGAGCTACGTGTGACCGTAAAGTTGACGAACGTGACTCTGGAGCAAATGTCTGGCGGGAATTCCACGGTGGGATCGCGTGTGGACAAGAAGATGACGAAGGAGGGCGACAGATCAATGTCCTGGTCGCCGAGGGTGATCAACACACGACCGCCAGTGCGACGTAGCTCCCGGTTAAGCACGGGATTCAAAATAGGATCATAGTTCTCCACATCCTGAACGAGCAGCGGATTGCCGAAACGCAGGGCGGACTCCAGATTCTTGCGGAACGAATCGTCCAAGAACGAGGTCTTTGTGATCTTCTTGCCGGCGTACTCATTCAGCAGAAAAGTGGTCGCTTGACCAGACGGGTCAATGATCAGCGGATAGCGGTTGAAGCGCTTCAACATAATGGCGTTCTCCGTGCACAGATCATCCGTGGGCAGGGCATTGGCCTGCCAGCGCAGTCGCTCGTCGGGATTCGATAGGTATTCGGTGCGAGCGATATCCGCGCGGTACTGAATGCTGGCCGCCTGCAGATGCTGTGACCAGGTGGTGAACAAGTTCAACCGGTAGTGCTGATCAAAGTAGCCACCGTAGGCGATGAAGGCCGCCGAGAGCAGCACATCGCCCACAATGGTGGACATCTGGGACTTGAACGTTTCGCTCGTGGACTCCCAGCGTTCGCGTTCAATGTTCAAACTGGCGAGCAGAGCAATCGAGCGATCCACCTTCGCCTGGACATTCTCCAGATCGGTTTTAATGGCCTGCGCCTGGGAGATCAGCTGGGCGTATTCCTCCTTGTACGCGGCAATACTGCGCTCCAGTTGCTCCACCAAATCCTTGGTCTCCTTGGCACTGGCCAGATTTACGTCGGCCTGCTCCTCCAGGGAGCGCAACTCCTCGCGCAGGGGCTCCACACGCTTCAACATGTCAGCGTACTCGATCTGGGTTTAAAAAAATCGATTAATACATGAAATCCAGTATAATGTTAAAGATGATTATCGATTAAATATCAAAAAAGGGTTTTTTAATATTTTAATTTATAAAAGCAACAAAAATATTTTAATTACGATATACATACGATATCTTTAAAAATGTTTATAAATAATTTTAAATAAATCTCACCTGAGCAATGGCCCATTTAACCATAGGACCACAAGCCATACTGGCGCGATTAACCTTCTCGAAGTTGTAATCCGGATTGCTCAAATACTTGGACTTCATCTTCTCGCGCACATCATCGCTGTTTTAATACAATTCTTACATTAGTTAACAATAAAAGACCGGAGTTTAGTCCGTTATTTGAATGAATTAAGCAAGCAAAGCAGTCGGATTACTATGAAACAGCGATAAATTTGACCAAAACCAAGGAGAAAAATTAACGAAAAGTTAGAGCCAATAACCAAAATTAGTTTGAAATTCAGGTAAAAATCATTAGAAAGTTCAAATATATTTACAAACCATAAGGCAGCTCGCTTGAACAATTCAAACTAGAACTACATACAAAAAAAAGTAACAACGAAATCAACAACTCAAGGGAAAACCAATTTCTACACTCGAAACTAAGGCATAACATCAACAAAATAACATCAACAAGAACAGGAATTAAGGTCGATAAAAGTAATTTGTTTCATGCTTACGTTATGTTCTCGGTACCGAAGTTAGATACAATTGAATTTATGAAATTTTCGCGCATGATCACGGCGCGTATCGATTTCCAATCGGTCGCATTCTCGCCCAGCAGCAGGCAGATCGATTCGAGAGCCAATTTGACCACCGATGGCGGATTAGCCATGGTTCGCACCTCAACGAGCTGTTGCT